TCGGAGTTTAGGGTTTAGGGTTTATAGGGTTTAGGAATCAGGGGGTTTCAGGGTTTCGGCCGTTTTGGGTTCGGCGGTTTGGGTTTCGGGTTAGGTGTCCTAAGGACTGCAGGTTGACCATGCTAGTAGCATCTCGAGCCCTTCATTGTCAGCACCACGAAACGAAGGTTCGCGTAGGGTTCAGGGCCAAATTCCCTGCTAGCCTCTGCCAGACGGGACAGGGAGGAAAGCAGCTCCATCTAGATATACCTCCTGAAGCCTGATCCCGAAAGTCGTAAACATCACGGCAAGGTGGCCATCGAGAGCACCGGCGAGAGTCCGGCAAGTCTCCCAGTCATTCTTGTGCGAGCGACTGCGATTCCTCTTGCATGTGGACGTGAAACTTCAAAGTTTGCCAAGCCCCAAGCATCTTCACTGCAGGGGTGCGGTCATAGACGGCGCATTTTAGAAGACCAGAGCCGAGGAGCAGGAGAGAATGCGATTACTTGCCACCTCCAGAGCCCGAAAGCCTCGCACTTTCTGGGACATGCCGGAAGCCTTGAAGCCGCGATGCTGCAAGGTCGCCGGCGAACACGTCGCCTGCAAGGTCGCTCGCGAATACGTCGCCTGCGACCACTTCGCCCTCCCGAAGTGCTTCGTTTGGGGCCTGGTGGCGTTTGCCAGGACTTCTATTTGGTGGAGCCGTGAATATCTATACATCCTGAACTCGACAATGCCCTTGCCACATCCGGGCCCATGGTGGCAGCCGAACATCCAACCACTACCACTGCTATTACCGCTATCGCACGACTACAACTATTGCTACCACCGCTAGCTAAATGGGGAAGTGGGCAAGTGGTACAAGCGGTATATGCCCCTGGCCGGCGAAATAACCAAGTTGACCAAAATGACACGGCGTCCCCTCCCCTGCGGTGCGAGACCAAAACGACCAAAGTGACCTGGTGGTTTTGCACAGCAACAACAACAACAACTACTACTACTACTACTGCTACTACTACTACTACTACTACCACCACCACCACCACCACCACCACCACCACCACCACCACCACCACCACCACCACCATTCATAGCACTGGTACACACTACTACTACTACTACTACTACTACTACTACTACTACTGCTACTGCTACTTCTACTACTATTACTACTACTACCACCACCACCACCAATACCAATACCACTACCACTACCACTGCTACTACTACCAGCACTACTATACCCACGACTACGACGACGACGACGACCGCTCCTGCTCATTCCTACTACTGCTACTGCTCCTACTACTACTGCTCGCACTACCACTACCACTGCCACTACTACGTCTACTACCAGGTACTACCACCACCACCACCACCACCACCACCACCATCCTATTGCAGCTACTGCTGCCATGGCTGCAAGGAGCTTGCCGCGGGAAAGTTCCACGGTGCTTCCGCGAAAGGCATGAAAGAATCCGCGAGGAAAACGGTTTCCAGAAGCAAAAAAAAGATCAATGCTCATATGAGAGCTGGCCGAAGATATGGTTGAGCTAGATCTTTCGCGCCAAAAAGTTCATTCTACCCGAAGTTGATCTGCTCGAAACCAGAGTATGAAGGTCGAATTTGTGATGAGGACGTCCTCCCATTCTGCGAGCAACAAATTCTAAAGTTTAAGGGTTGGACGGCACGTTTGGAAGATCTTCCGCGGGCCTAGTTCTTCTAGCACTTATATCGTCCAAGCTTATGTTGACCCCGCCTGAATTTGTGCTGGTACCGTAGCGTTCTGTCAAGATTTCATCTAGCTTTTTTCATGTTGAGGGTCATGGTTACGAGCGATTGCTGCGCCGCCCAGGCGTCGACTACGCGCTTGCTCTCAAGTGCCTTCCCACGTCAAAGGCGGCATCGTCACAGCCAGAGTTATGCGATTACAATGATGCTGTCTCGGGTCAAAACACAAGGCAAAGGCCTGCACCTGCCAGGAGAGCGCACAATCGTTTGGTCTTTGGGGCATTGCTGGCTTCCTCGGCAGCTGTTTGGGCCCGTTCTTGGTCGGAGGAGTCCTGTTTTTCTTCCCACAGCCGGGCCACTCGCCTTCAGCAGGTATTCACAGGATGTCAGGTTTGCGGGCTGGCAAAGATGTCTCCCATTGCATGCCTGCTTCAAAAGGTGGTGTTGCTGTGAAGAGGGTTGAAGAGGCCTTGGACTCCTTGACATAGACCCAACAATGCCAGCATACAACAAGCTTGCATATTGAAGCTTGGACCCCGGTAGCCGGACAGAGCGCCTGTCATGAAGAGACTTGTCGAAGCTCGGCAACCGGCTGTGGAATTCGATCTGAGACCCGGCCCTGCTGGAGGCCTCGTAGACCCTGCACGATATGGACTTGCTAGAGATGTCGCGAGGCTTTCGGGTAACCGATGAAGAACCCCTGCAAAAACGGATCTCCGAATTGAGTGCTGGCCGCACAAGTGAAAACACATGAACGGCGGCAGGGAGGCCGACAAATCGACAACCAGACGAACTTGCACATGCTAGCGTCCTAAACACAACAGTTCAACAGTGCGTGCTGCTGAGACTGCTGGGCATATCAGAAGGACTATAGACCCACATGTCCGCAGAGGCCCGTAAGATGGCATTTGCAGGCATCATGGCTCAATGTGATGGAGGTCTGCATGTTTTGATTGGCTCTACGATGAGACCTCTCCAGATGAAACGGCCCAGATGACTACGCAATCAATTTGGGCAGCCAGCTTCGACACTGAAACATCGTTGTGTGGCTCCGCACGCTCAACGCTCGCAGAAGAGAGATGCTGTGCGAAAAGTCCAACCGACAACCAATCATCACGTAAGCCCAGGCACATGCAATTATCAGTACAAATCGCATCAAGCCCCCATTCTCGATTCGAGTCTATGGGCCTGGGGCTGCGACAAGTTGCATCGGCTTCCTCGATTTTCGAGTTGCGGAAGGGGATCGTTTGCGAAAGGGTCTGGGGTCTGAGGAAGGGTCCGACTGAGGGGATTGGCGGAAGGGTTGCGAGTAAGAGGTTTCCGTGATGTACAAAATCAAAGAAAATTGAACCACACAGATCAAATATGATCAAACTGCACACGGAATGAAGCAAAATGTCAAAGACGGAAGAGCTGTTTTAGCTCCTGCCAACATCTTGCCAACGCCCACAAATGAACTGTGTCTTGCTTCGGCTTGTATGCGGGCGTCCGAGCCTAGGCAGCCAGCCGAAAGCCTGGCAGAGGAGCCATTTCCAGTTCAAGGCATCGGCCCTTGGTGCTTCTACAAACCCTGCTGTTGTGGTGCGTACCCTGCGATTTTTGCTGCTGTCGACAGGGCTACGCTCTTGGCATTCTCGTCGCCGGTGCTCTTCCTGCGCTGGCCGTGATCCGTGCAACCATGTACATTCGAAGGGAGGTTTAGACCATTGTGCCATAGCTCAGCCGGAAAAGTTGTCTGAACGGCTCTTGAGTACTCGGCTCGCTTTCCCCGAAGCTAGGAGGTTACGGATTTGGGCAGAGCAAGGAGGAATGCAAAGTAGCTGAAGAGAGGTCAAGGGTCCAGGAGTTCTTCTGCGAAGTGGTTTCCCCCGCAGCATCGTCCCGAGTTGAAGGTTCTGACGCCTTTCACCTTTTGCCGACAAACACGCATGGACCACAAGCGACATTCGGGAGCAGAGAAAACTGCTTCCCATCATATCTGCTCAGCCGAGAGTTCTAGACTCGTTCGAAGCAGCAATCGTGGGGTCTTGCAGGCTCAACATCAAGATGTGGCTGGACGCAGCAGAGTCTGGAGACGACAAGAAACCTGCAGTCGCTGGAGCTCCGAGCGTCCTCCGGTTGATTTGGTTCCTGCGATAGAGATCATGCAGCCTTTGCAGACATCCAGATCCGACTGGATGTTGTATGCAACATCTAAGATTCCGCTTCCTCGCATTTCCTCATTTGATGTGCCAACTGGACACACTGGCATTGCAACTGCCCCGTAGCTGCTTTGATGCTCTCTGACTCTTTACTCGTTCCGTTATCGCTCTCCTCTATCTACTTCTTGATCCTCGTTGCTTCACTCGCTGTTCTGGCATCTTTCTTTTTTATCAGACTGCTTCGTACGCCTTGCAGGGTCCAGGGCTGCGTCGCCCGTCTGCTTGCGCAGGTGGGGGCTATCTGCCAAATCGTCTATGATCAGGATTTGGCAGAGCTGTTTCGTCTTGAGCATTCTTTAGCTGTTTGGAGTTTTCGGTGATCTTGCGCTGTTGCCGAGGCAGCCTCGTCCCAATGACCCGAACTAAACCTGTTCCCTGCTCGACCTGCGTGGTGTCTTCGATGAAGCGTTTGACGGGTAGCCAGCCGTCGTCCACGTCGAGGGGCTGAACACATAGATCCAATTGCTCCAGATTCATTGCAAACAAGGCAGCGGTTTTGCAAGACTTCAGCATAAGTTTGCCTGATTGTTGCATGTGTTTTGCCGGATTGTAGCACGATTATGTGCATAACTTTGTGATGTTTGCGTGTTTTATGTTTACGGATTCTCGCGCAAACAATTGCATGATTCGCTGACTGTTTGCATGAGTTTTCACATGTACTGCGGATCCGCGCCGTGGTTCGAAGGAGGGCGATATCAATACTTTATCAGTGTCACGAGTGAAAAAGAGGATGCTCAAAGAACAACGGCAGCTGCCACAACTCAATCATCTAGAACTTTGTAGAAGAAGCCAGCAGCCTGTGGGGGACTTGCATTGCATTGTTCACGCTGGGGCCTCTGAGTGACTGCAAGGGCATGTACAGGTTTGGTCCCTGAACTCGCTTCGATTACCCTAGGCAGCCTTTTACATATCTTTACATCCGCCGCGTGCAGGAACTTGTGCAACTGCAGGTAGGACTAGGTTAGGGTAGGCAGTCCATCCTCGTTCCCAGGTCCTGTGCCAGGAGGGTGCCTTTTTCGTCGTCTTCTACATCTCCGAACCGCGTGGGTAGCTCTGAGTGATTGCAAGGGAGCGCATTTGTTTAGTCGAGAGCGTAGGATCTGTTTGAACAGGTAGNNTTTTGTGCAAGTGCACAGCTGGCAGCATGGACGTCTGAGTGATTGTACAGACCGAGTACTGTACCTAGGGTGATTGACCCGATGCATGATGAGTTCCTTTCGTTAAACCGTTGTTATAACTGGGGTCGACATGGTGTCGAAAGATTAGAAAAAGTGCTTCTCCAATGGTCTTGTCAGGAGACCGAGGCAGACAGTCGCAACGGTACAACTGGCCATGAAGTAACCAGCACAAACATTCAGCGGGCATCTGCCAACAATCCACAACTGAAACGCAAAACGGTCGCTCAAGGATTCCGCCTCTTGAAGAGACATCGTGATGCTCAAATCCTTCGATGTGCAACTAGCACATCCGAGCAACACTCTCACAACCAAGTGCAACACCCTTCGTACTGCAGCACACCCTCGAACGACGTGAGCACGACTGATGACGTACAATCGACTTAGCTGCCGATGTTCGTCGTGACTGGGGTTTAGGATCTTCAGAGAAGTGCGACAATCGACAAGCAAGCCAAAATCCCTTCTCCCCTGCACAGGTGCTTATCCAGATTGCTGGTTGACAGGGAGCTCTGAGAGCCAGAAAGGGACCGTTGCACCTGGTAGGAGTGCACTGTGGCAGATCCTAGGAAGTTCTTTTTGCGTATGACTGCAGACACTGTTTAAGCATGCTTGATCGCATTTGATCGCTCTTATTCAGAGCGAAATCACAGGGAGAGCATCTGCTGTAGGTTTGAGCACTCTGTTGCACACCGCACTACGTGCTGAGATCCTTTTTTGTCTCGAATTCCCAGGAAGCAAAGTCTAGATTGCAGACATGTGGAGACTGGCGTATTCGGAGCAGAAGTGCCCTCAACCGTAATTGTCTGCAACTAGCCGACGGGCTTCTATGCGTAGCATGGTCAATGCACGAACCTTCCATGACTGTGTTATAATACACGGTATTGACATGGTATCTCTACTACATTCCTGTACTATGTACCGGTATAGCTGAAAACTCAAGTTGAATTGCGCTCACCATGCCGTCTGCGTCTGGAAGGACACGCGAATCGTGTCAAGCATCCCAGCACAGAACCTTCAGGTGGAGGTCATGACAAGATCTTCAGGCACAGGCATGGAATGTTGCCTTGCACAGATGATACTGACCGCCACATTTGACTTTCGTGCTCTCCCTGAACCCCTTCAAATCCCTTCGGCATTCAAGACAGAGGCAGAGCCCGGCACTTGAGGTACGTACGTTTCCAGACTTTGCATCAAGTTTTTTGATGGGGCCGTGCTAGCTCCTGCGCACGCTTTGGCGCCGCTCCAGCGTGGTTTCAGGGAGTCCATAAGATTGTCCACTCAACCAACAGGTTTTACAGGGGACATTCTTGGTCCATTCTGGACAAGTCTTCTCGGGCCCGAGATAAGAGGAGCCCCAGGCTGTTCAACAGATCCAGCACCCCGCAGCTGC